AACTAGCTCAGCCTGACCTCAGCTCTTTACTTTCTTTTTACATTTTTTTTCTTTTCATGATGACAGTGGTGAGGCTCTGCCTCCCCTGACTGCACGTCCCTGATCCACAACTATGCAAGTGAGGCTGCTCCCCTTTTTACATGCAGACTAGTGGTGGGATTCAATTTTTTTACTACCTGTTCTGTGGGCGTGGCTTGGTGGGGGTATCATGGCTTAGTGGATATGGCTTGGCAGGAGAAGGATACTATAAAAACTCCTTTCCCTCTCAATCAGTTGGGACCCGGGAGGCAGAGAATAGATGGGGGCGGGGCCAATCAGAGGTGATATTTACCAGTTCTCTGAACTACTCAAAATTTCCGCTACCGGTTCTCCAGAACTGGTCAGAACCTGCTGAATACCACCTCTGATGCAGACATACTTGGATTAATACCTGATTAAGCTAAACATGGATTATTTAAATATAGAAGGACCTTAAATTAACCAGATTTTTTTTCTTTGATTTCAGCAAGCTATATAAACTACCAAAGTTGATTGGTTAACTCATTCCTAATTTGAAGTTATTTCCTATTTCTGCAACATTTGCTAACATGTCAAGAATTATAGCTTACATAGGCAGCCAAATTAGTTATGTCTCCTAAAAGGTAGAAAGACTGAAGCAATATTTGAAACGTCCATTTGAAAAACATTACTATAATTTAAAACTCACTTCTCTTAGGTTTTAAATGAATGTAATAGAGGAAACACTAACGAACCTTTGTAAATGAATGAAACTTGCTTAAAAGTGCTTCTTTGGGCCCATGTATTTTGCCTTTTTATCACATTTTTCTATTCCTTATTAGTTGCTTCTTACATTTTAGTTCAGGCCTGATAATAACTATATATAATTTTGGACAAAATATACAAACAAGGAATCCAGTACTGGAAGCCAAAATGGAAAAGATTTCCATAGCCACTATGTATTTACCCTTAGTGCTCAGGTAGGTGGGACAAAAGAGATCCAGGCAGTACAAAACACCAGCAAGCTGAAAGTGATGAACTTAGCTTCATTGAAAGTGCTGAGTAAGCTCCTAGCAAGGAAAGCCATCAGGAAACTAATGACAGCTAAGAATCCCAGGTAGCCTAGAACACAATAAAACAGAATGGGAGATCTTGCATTCCATTCCATCACAGATTCCTCGAGGAAAGAATGAATGTCACAATCTGGGAACGGGGGAGCAACATAGAGCCAGGCAGAACAAATCATTGCTTGAATTAGAGAACAAAAAAGAACTACAGATGTGGCCAATCTTTTGCCCACCCATTTTCTCATTCTACTTCCTGGCTTGGTAGCCATGAAAGCTACAACCACCATGATGGTTTTTGCCAATATCAAAGAAACAGCCATGGAGAAGATGATGCCAAAAGACGTTTGTTGGAGGTAGCGGGTGACAGCATGTGGTTGGCCAATGAATAGAAGGGGACAAAGGAAGCAGAGGAAGAGACAGATGAGCATAAAGTAGGTGAGATCTCAATTGTTGGCTTTGATGATATGAGTATTTCTGTATTTAATAAATATTCCTAGCACAAAAACTGTGATTAGAGAAAAAACAGACAAAGAAACTAAAATGATTCCCAAAGGTTCATGATGGGAAAGAAAATTTGGGATCTTAGGAAGACATAGATTTCTGCCTTCATTTGCATATTGATCTTCTGGGCAACTGTAACAATCATATAACAAGTGCTTTATTAGATATATCAAACTACGGTACTTGGATATATCAAGATGACAAACTAATTGTAATTAATTTAATCAGTCCTATGATTGAGGATAATTTCAATATTGAAATAATTTCAATATTTCAGTTTTTTTATATATGTGTGTATGTGTGTGTGTGTTTATTTGTGCTGATAAATAAATAAAGGGAGACTAGTATAGATCTATTTCAAGCTACTTAGCTATCATCAGTTAGCCATACAAATAAAAAACACAAATATAACAAAGGCAACAGTAAAAATATTGGGTTTCTGTCGTGATGGACTCTTGCGACGAGCCGATTGACAAAGAATGGAAGCAGTTAGCTTCCTCCCATAATTGGGGCATACCAGGGGTTGTGACTTTAATATATATATGTGTGTGTGTGTGTGTGTGTGTGTGTTTGCTATATTTGTGCTGATAAATAAATAAAGGGAGACTAGTATAGATCTATTTCAAGCTATTTAGCTCTCATCAGCTAGCCATAACCTTACTGGGATTCGAACCTGAGAATATATATATTCTTATTAAAGAAAAACCCAAATTTGCAAATGAGATGCCACTGGATATTCATGTACATCTGTGGCCACATAATTTCTATGTAAACACAAACACAGATACACAGACACACAGTCATAATCACACGTTTCTCTGCATGGTTTTGCCTTGCTGGTTCGACAGAAGCTCCGGTTGGTTGGTTGGTTGGTTGGTTGGTTGGTTGGTTGAACATCTTCATTTATAATTTTCAAATTAACATCATT